GTTAGTTTATTATCACTAACTGGTTAGTTTATGATCTCTAGCTGGTTAGCTTATTATCACTAACTGGTCAGTTTATGATCTCTAGCTGGTCAGTTTATGATCTCTAGCTGGTCAGTTTGTCATTACTAACTAGTTAGTTTATGATCACAAACTGGTTAGTGCTGGTTATGGTCTTACCCAATGAGGCTGTGCTCTCCTCTCCTCCAGGCTCAGGCTCAGGCTCAGGCTATGCATATCTCTCTCTCTCTCTCTCTCTCTCTCTCTCACTGCGACCGCTCCCTCCGGCGGCTACGCTCCGACTGAGAGGACGCGGCTTCCAGAAGCACCCCCCACCCCACCGGAACCGGATAGTCTTCCCATTGGTCAGCCTAGGCCACACCCCCTCTTCCTCATTGGCGGAATGTCCCCTCACCCTGACCCCGCGCCGCCATTGGTCCAAACCACGCCCCTCCCATTGCCATTGGAGGAGGCTGAAGAATGCTCCGCCCACACCCGCGATTGGCTGGCGGCGGCCGCTACCCTCACCCCGACCGGCCCCGCCTCCCTCGCTCCCAATGGCCGAGCCTCCACGTCCGCCCCGTGCAAACCCTTTGACTCCCATTGGTGAAGCGGCCCGTCGGTCATCATCCCCTCCTTTCCATTGGCTGAAACGGGGAGAGCCCGGCCAATGGGCGGACACCTCTCGTTTCCCCCAACCCCCAACCCACCCTCACTTTTGGTATCCCACGCCACACCGTGCGTCGGCGATTCTCATTGGTCCTCCCCTCCAAGGCCGGGGCGGGAAGCGCGAACGGCGTCGCTTTCAAATCTCAACGGTCACTGCCCACGGGCCCCGCCTCCTAGACCTTCGGCCAATGGGGATCCCGCCTACGTCCCCAACTATCCAATAGGAATCCCTTTCAGCTCCCTGAGTGATCCAATAGAAATTGATCTTACATCCAGTGGGGATCCAATAGGAGTCCATCTTAAACCCAGAGGGCATCCAATAGAAATCCATCTTACGGCCAGAAAGCATCCAATCGGAATTCGCCTTACATCCAGAAGGCACCCAATAGGAATCCGTCTTACGGCCAGAGGGGATCCAATAGGAATCTATCTTACTTCCAGAGGCGATCCAATCGGAATCCGTCTTACGAGCAGGAGGCTCCAATCGGAACCCGACATCCATCCAGCATCTGCAGTTCCTACTATCTCTGATCCATCTGAGTGATCCGCCTTGTGTCCCGAGCCGTCCAATAGGAATGTGTATAACACCCAGCGGCAGCCAATGGGAGAGTGCGTTAGAGCTGGGGGCGGATCCAATCTCCTTGGAGTGAGGTGAGTTTGGGTTTGTCCCCAACCAGGTAGGGGATCCTGTCAGGATCCAGGGATCCAATAGATCACTCAGTCTGGGGGGAGGGGTGGTGGCGACTGAGAGATCTATCACATCGGGGGGGGGGGGCTGGGACCACTGGGGGATTTACAACAAACCCGGGGGGGGGGGGCTCCAAGGAGATTGGATCCGCCCCCAGCTCTAACGCACGGTGTGGGTG